GGCCACCATAATTCAGCTCCTAGCTCCCAGGCAGGCTGGGGAGGCGGAAAGACTTGTGGTGGCTGCTGTCAAAGCCAAGGGTTTTCGCTGTTCCATGGGATTGCTGGGAAGTGTAGTCTTCCCAGGGCAGGTAGCCCAGCTTCCGGAGCTGGTGAGGGGTTTGTGATGCCCTCTGCCGAGTCGGAGTCCACCGTGCAGGACCCTGGCGGACAAGGCTGCCTGGGCCCTAGCTGGGCAGGGAAGAGTCATCAGGAGAGAGTGGCGGCCAACCTCTCATTCTGTCAGTCCTTCCTTCTGCATTTATTAAGTATCCACTGCATGGCAGGTATATCTGGGTAATTAATTGAGAGAAATAAAATGCACATGCACCATGCAAAATGATGAGGCCCTAAGGGTAGGGATTTTGGGGACATCTGGGGGACTTGGGAAGACTCAATGGAAGGAGGTGGTATTTAATTGGAGCCTTATAGAGTGGATGGGATTTCCACGAGCCTGCAATCTGTACGCAGATGAGAGCCAGCTGGATCTTCTCTCATCAGAGTCTTTCTGTGCCTTGATGTGCTTTCACCTCCACTCCAGATGCTGTGAATCCTGGAGACCCTCCTGATTTCTGTGCTGTCAGGAAGACTAAGGATAAATGGCTATGTCAGCTTTAAAGTATTATCACTCTAAAACTATCTGTAAATAAGTTGGTAAGAGCTTAAAACAAAAGGCTTGGAGCTCTAATAGCTTAAATAAGAAAAGCCATATGATTATATCAACATATTATTTATCAAATGTGGAAAACTGTTGTTAAAATTCAGCAGTCCTTCTAATAAAAGCTAAGGGAAAACATCTTAAACAAAGTAACAGAAAAACATAGAACACATAATAGTAACAGGCTAAAGTTATTTCCATGAAAATCAGGCTTAGGAAAGGGAAGGATGCTATCCCTTTATGTGACCAAACCTATGTGGGATGCTACTCTTATCCCACATAGTTTAGGTCAGCCTAGCTAACTCTGTATGATGAGAACATGAAACAAGTACTATTAATATTAGAAAGCCAAGGAATCATTATTTACTGATTATAGGATATGGGTAGAAAATTCTAACCAATAAGTTGACTGGGCACAAATTAAAAATTAAAAATCGATCGATCATTGTATGTATGGGAATTCTGTATATAATCAAGCTGGCATTCATATCAGAGGGAAAACTTATTATTCAATAACTATTGTTAGGAAAAGTGGCAATCCATTTGGAAGGAAAGAAAATTAAATCTGTCTTATCTAAAAATAAACTCCACATAGATCAAAGTGTATAACATTAAAAATAAAACTACAGAAAAATACAGAAGAATATTTAATGATCTTATGTTAAGAAGTCCTCTTTAACAAAACTCAGAAGTTGTTTTCTTTTTTTTAATGGACAGGCTTAACTACTTAAATTTTGAAAACTTCTGTAGAATCAGACTTACAGTATTTCAATTATGGTTTTGCCCTTAGTAACTGAGAGAGTCCAGGGTAGTGACTTATCCTTCAGTGCCTCAGTGCTCTCATTTGTAAAAAGTAGTAACAATAGTACATGCCTCATGATGTATGAATTAAATGAGATAGTCCATGTAAGTCACAAAGAATGGTGTCTGGCATATTGTAAATGTTCAATAGAAGTTAGCAATTAGTGTTATTACCACTATAACTTTTGAGAAAAATGACATTGACAGAGTTAAAAGATAAGTCACAGACTAGGAGATAGCATTTGTCACAGAATAGAGCGACAACAGGCAAATGTCTCTAACACAGAAGGAGTTGCTATAAGTCAATAAAACCTCAAACAACCTAGTAGAAATATGAACAAGTAATGTGAACAGGTAATTAATAGAAGAAATTCATAAGGTCAAAGAACATGGAAAAAAGTTCATCTTCACTAACAGTAAAAGAATGAAATTAAAACAACATTTAGATACCATTATTATTATTATTAGTTTGCTTCTCATATTGGTAATATTTGGTGTTAGTGAAGGTGTTGGTTGGACTGTAAATTATTCCATTTTTAGAGAGAAATTTGGCAATGTCAATTAAAATATAAAAAACATACTCTTTGAGCAATGTCAATGCTAAAATACTATGCATCAAAATAACAGTATTTCACCATTTGTGCACTAGTCAAACTTTGAAAACAAATTAAATTATTATCAATACAGGAATGAGACATTCATTGAATGGAATCCTGCCTAACCATTATAAAGAATGGAGTAACTTCATATGAAACTTACCTTGGAAGAGGCTTATGACATGTTAAATGAAAAAAGCGTGTTGTAGAACAATATGTACATTATGATCTCATTTCTGTAAAAATTAAAAAGTATGTACATGTGCTATACATGTGTGCATAAGTATCGAAAAATCTAGTAGATAGGAATCAAAATGTTTGCAGTAGTTTTCTCCAAAGTGTAGGATTCGTGTCTTCTTTCATTTGCTCAATCAATCATTAATTCATTCAGCAAAAGTCTTTTGAGTGCTTACTAGATGCTAGGTACTGTTTTAGGTACTGTGGATACAATAATAAAGTGGACAAAATTCCTACCCTCATTCAGCTTACATTCTAATACAGGGAGACAGAAAACAATGAAATAAATGTACAGTATTTTAGATGGCGATATGTTCTATGGAGAAAAATAAAGCAGAGAAGGGAGGTGGAAGAGCAGTTTGTGATTTTAAGCAAGCTGGACTGAAAGTGTAGAGGGAACACTTTACATTTAAAAAAAATTTATTGTTGTTAATTACAGTTGTCCTGCTTTTCCCCCCATTGTTCATCCCTACCCTGTCCCCCTCTATTCCCACCATCAATCCCCCCACTGTCTGGTCTGTGCCCATGAGTCCTCTACTTGTGTTCCTTTGCTTGCCCCGTCCTCTTCAATTGTAGGATTAATGAGTGCTTTTCTTTCTCATTCAGTGGGTGATTATTTCATATATCACAACTAAACAGTATGAAAAAGGAGAAATGTTTTAACAGTGGAATTTCTGACCTGGGGGTAGGGCATAAAATTTGAGACTGATTTATTTGTTTTCTTACCCCATCTTTGAAAAATGACCCCTAAATGTTCATCCCTGGCTGAAGAAGATAACCTACTTTGTGAAATTCTCAGTTTCTCTTCCTCACTCATTGGGCATATTACTGGTACGTCAACTGGTGTGTCTTTTTTGTCCTTTTCCCCTAATGACTTGCTTTCTTAATTGTTTGCCTAAGGGCATTTAAGAATTGGTTTGCATTTCTGAGTACAAACCTATAGGGAAATCTGATAAAATGCAAAATGCTTATCTGTGTGGGGTTAATCCCATTAATTCCATAGTGACCCATATTTTTTTAGTTCTTCCCATAAGAGAGCAAGGAACCCATGCTAAGGGACAAAAATTAAGAATTTTGATGGCTGTTAAAGTCAACCAAATTGATGGCAAGTTCTTCGACATAGGGACCAAGTCTGTGAATGGTTTTTTGAATCTGTTTTGTGCAAGGCCTGTGATGACTAAATTAGTGAGCTTTTCCAGTCCCTTCCTTGGCTAGTCCCTTTGGCCTCTGAGAGACTTTTAAGGAGAGGAAGGGGGAACAATGATTTTTCATCTGCAGGCAGAATAAAGGAAGTACAGGCAGAACTGTCACAGAAATATTTAAAGTTAAACACGAGGACTACATTCTGGATATCTGGTTTGGGATGTATGTGAACCACAATCTGATTTCCTCATTCTGGAATCAGCCCTGAAGTAGCACTAGGATTAGTTTCAGGAGTTAGTGGAGCCTGATACATCTCCAAAATGGAACTTAATCCAGAACTTCTTTAGGTGCTTCATTCTCCTTTCCAACTAGTAGCTTCTCTTAACTCTCCTGTTCTCCAGTTTCCTGATTGATAATGGCCAGAGCTGCCTTTGCCACTCTTCTCTTCTCTGGGAGGTTGAGGATGTATGAGAGAAAGGAAGATTTGTCCTCTGTGTAAGCAAAACTAAGGCTCTTTGGAATTATATTGGTAGCAACCCTTTCCTGCCAGACAGGGTGTGTGGAGCAGCTACACACTGTGTCACTCTTTTTCCCCTTAAAGAGTCTCTTCGAAATTGTTAGGACAGATATTATCCCCACTTTGAGCCTGTGCTCTGGTGAAAAGATAGTAGAAACTAGTCTTATGATAACTCCTGGTCAAGTGTGTGTTGATTTAATCAGGGCACAAGGGAGCAAGATTTTTTTTTTTTAATTATTTTTAATTGTATTTTTTCCATTACCATTTAGTCCTCTTATACCTCCTAACCCCAGCAATCACCACACTGTTGTTCATGTCCATGAGTGCTTTTTCCTTTTTGCTCAATCCCTCTATCCCCTATCCTGCCCCTAGTAGCTGTCAGTCTGCTCTCTATGAGCCTGTCTCTATTTTGCTTCTTAGTTCAGTTCGTTCATTAGATGCCACATATAAATGAAATCATATGGTATATATCTTTCTCTGACTGGTTTGTTTCACTTAGCATAATTTTCTCCAGGTCCATCCATACTGTCACAGAGGGCAAAACTTTCTTCTTTTTTATGGGTATAGTAGTATTCCCTTGTGTAAATGTCCCATAGTTGTTCCCCTCCCCCTCCTTGGGAGGGGGTCTCCATTACCTTATATTCACATTACTTTTGTTTATTAACGGCTCATGGGTTGACTATTCATAATCAGTGTATTGTTCACCTGATGTTAAATCGCACTGCTAAAAAATAATGAGCAATATATTGTCTTAGTTAATTCATTTTTCTCTAAATACTGTGAATGCCCCTTTCCTGCCCGGAAGAAATTCCGCTCATATCTCAATTCAGCGCTCTCTTAACCCCTTGATAATCACTATATTGGACTACATCTCCCATTGTGCAACGGGAAACGTGCACTCTTCCGTGATCCGACAAAGACGTTTAACCAATCCAATGGCAGAACTCTCATTTTGTGACCTATTGACTCCGGGTAGAGGCGGGCCTCTCAGTTGCTAGGTTGTTACCTTTTCCGGAAGTAGTTTGGGCCGCTGCAAGGCAACACCCCGGCGTCCCTGGAAGCGGGAAAGCTGGGAACCCCGGTGGTGCTAGGGAAGCTGCGCAGACCCGGGAACCCTCGCTCAGAACTCCCCGGGGTGAGGGACAGGTGAGGTCGTCCTCGAGGGAGGGCTTAGGTGGCAGGGAAAGGAGGAAAGCGGGAGGGTCGAGGCACTCTGGTGTGCCAACGAGCGGGACGTGCACGAGCGTGGGCGGGAACTGAAGAATGGAGTGAAAAAGTAACGGCCGGACTAGGTGGCATCCTTCCAGAATCTCTCCGAGTGGTAAACGGGGTCCTGGGCCGATTGCTGGCCAGGCAGTGATTTCACCCGGAGGCTCAGTTACCATCTGTTTAACGGTGACTTCCCACACTGGCTCTCTCCAGACTCTTGAGCTAGAACCTGCTTACTGATTATCCCCAACTGCACCTTCTCCAGCCTTCCTGGTCCCCCAGCGCTGTTCCTCCTTTTGTAGTTCCTGTTTCAGTCAAGGACTTAATTCGCTTAGCCAAGTCTGCACCTGGAATTCATCTAACGTATGCGGCAAACATTTGTTGGGTATTTCCTGCAGTCTAGTCGGTATGCCAGGTGCGGTTACTGGGCAAGGTGTAGGAATGAAAAGATAACAGTGAACAGGATATGGCTTAAGTGCTCTCATTTCCCACTTCTTTTTCCCTCACTTGCTGTAGACATCAAGTCCTGTTATTCTGCTCCTAATATCCGTGATAAACCCTTCCTTTCTATTCTCACAGCCAGTAATTTCATAATTTCTTGCCTGTGCTTTCAGGATAACTTTGTAAGTGGTTCCTCTCCCTCTGTTCTTGCCCTCCTCTGATTAGTTCTTACACAGCTGCCATAATTATATGAAATCCTGAGATGACTCCTCATCATGAAAACGATATAGCCCTTTATATTGTGCTCCTTGCCTTCCATTGTAGGTCTCTCTTCTGTCATCCTTCCCGTTGTCCCTTGCACTCTGGTCATGTCAGAGTGGTTAGATCTCAGGCTTTGGAGTCATATAGATGTGGCTGTGTACATGTTTTGCTGTGCCATTTACTAGCTGTGAGACCTTGGACAAATTTTTTTTTTTTTAACTTTCTGAGAGTTTCGTTATTTGAAAAATGGGGATAATAATCAACCTACCTAAGAGGATAAGTTGAGGTGATGTATATAATGCATTAGTAGTCTGAGGAACATAGGAAGTGTTCACGGAATGTAAGCTTTTGTTGTAATGAATTCTCTGTACCCACCATATTCTTTTCTTGCTTCTTTGCCTTGTGCATGCTGTTTCTTCTGCATTAAATTCCCTTACTCCCTTATCCTAGTGCGCTTCTGCTTCCTTCCAGAACCATTTCAGTAGTCCTCTTGTCTGTGATGCTTTCCCTGCTTTTCCAAAGTAAGGTTAGTTGCCCTGACTTTTGCATCCCATTGTATTTTGTTTCTTCCCCTAATGTGGTTATCATATTATACAACCATATGTTTATGTGTTTGGCTTCCCAGCTATGCTGAGCTGGAGTTGAAGCCCATGTGTAATCAGATTTGTAGCCCTAACAGTGAGCACAGTGCCTGACCCATGGTAGGTGTTCAATAACTGGCTATCGCATGTCTGAATGGCCTTAACTTATATTCCCTCATACGTGATCTGTCCTCTGGAACAATGTAAAATAATCCCTTTAAGAATGTGAATAGTAGCCCCAGCTGGTGTGGCTCAGTTAATTGGGTGTTGTCCCACAAACTGAAGGGTCGCCAGGTTCTATTTGCAGTCAGGGCACATGCCTGGGTTGCAGGGTCAGTCCCCAGTCGGGGTGCATATAGAAGACAGCTGTTCCATGTTTCTCACATCAGTGTTTCTTTCCCTCCCTTCACCTCTCTCAAATCAAAAAATAAAACAAAAAAATGTAAAAAGAATGAATAATAACAACAACTGACATTTATTTGGATCTTACTGTGTTTTAAGTATTTTACATGTATTGAATCATGTAACTTACAACCCTTTGAGATAAGTATTGTTTTCCCCATTTTACAGATGAGGAAACAGGCATCCTATTCAGCTGGTAGTGGAAAATCCAAGAATGTTCAAAAACCTGTGCTCATTACAACTACATAGTCAACTCTGATGTCTTCTGCTTTCTCCCCAAGGCCTTCAGTAAATTTTTTTTCCTGAGTTGAACTTTCCTTGTAATTGTTCAAGGAGGGAGGAAGAAATAAATGTGCAGAGATTCCTAATCGTGCATATGGGTGTATATGCTTTGTTAGTGTTCAGTTGTTCAAAACTTTTTGGCTATGCTGACAAATTAGCGTTCTAGGAAGCTTAACACAATGTTGAGGGATTGGGGAACAATGGCATGTATTGAGTGGAAAGGAATACTTAGCTTGGAGTAGAGAAGACTTGGATGCTCTCTTTAGGTCCAGAGGGAAGAACAGGCAAATAGGAGGAATTTTCTTAGAAACTGATTTTTGGTTTAATGTGGAAAAGAGACCTTTTCATAGTTAATAATTATCTAACTGTGGAATGGGCAATAACATCAGTTTAACTTGTACTGTGTACCAGTGTACTTTATAAGAACTATCTCATTTCATCCTCAAATAACTTTTTGATGTAGATTATCATGATTGTTTCCATTATACACATGAGGTTATTGAAACTTTGAGAGGTGAAGGACCTTGCCTAATTTGCCTAAGGCCATGCAGCTGGTAAGCAAGAGAGGCAGGATTTGAATTCAGGAGTTTCTGGCCCCAAAGGTGGTACTTCAGCCACTATGTTGTTTGTCACTTAATGCATAGAGAGGGAAAATTTGACATGGGAGGGGTAGTTAGACCAAAGTTCCTATGGTTTTTATTTTTATTTTTTGACTCTTGAGATTCCTTGGTCCTGTGCTAGTGGTTTATAGCAGAGATAGAGCTCCTATGGTTTATGTACCTTATTTTGTGCTTGGTCAGAAAATGCAGAGGAAGGAGTAGACATGGCCCTCATAAGTTTGTGGTTTAAGAAGAGAGGTGGAACACAATCCCATGAAAAAAGTAGTATCAGGAGTTATATGCTTATGAACACATGCAAAATGTGTCCTTTCTGCTGAGGAGGTTGTGAGTTGATGGGAGGGGCTGTGGTGCTTATCCAGGGAGGGCTTCCTGGAGGAGGTGTATGAGCCACTTTTATTTATTTATTTTTGGCTAGATTCTAGGATTGGCAGGAGATGGATGAGTGCACTTGGATGACCCTTCCCCTACAATTGTTATGGCTCATAGAAGGTCTCAGGCCTGGTGGCAAGTAGGACTCATCAAATTTCATCTGATCTGTTGGTAAGTTCTGCATGGAGTATAATATTGATGGTTCTGAATGCATGTCTAGGGTACTATGAGTGCCTAGTGATGTCTCTCTCTCAGTCTCAGACTTGGAAGGAAATGTTAGGACATGTAACATATATTTGCAATAGCAGATCTCAGGGCTACTTTCTTAGACATCTCATCTTCCCTGTTACCACTCTAGCCCAGGTTATCATTATCTCTCTCTTTGACTAGCTCATGGTTTCCCACTTAAATCTCTCTGCCGCAACTCTTTCTTCCTTCCAGTCTGGCCTCTATTCCAGTCTGTATTCCCAATGGCTGCCAGAGTAATCTTTAATGTCTAAAAAAACCCCCTTTTCCCAGCTTTTTTTTTTTCCCAATGAAGGCCAACTTCTCAGCATGGCTTGACCTCCACCCACCTCCCCAGCATCATCTCCAACTGTGCTTGGTGTTGTTTCCTGTGGAAGGGCCTTTGCATGTGCTTCTGCTTCTATTAGAACACCTGCTCCCTCTGTTTTTGTCTAGTGAATACTTCCTTGTCCTTCAGTTCTCAGCATAGGCTTTATTTAAGTCAGGCTCATTTCTTCCAGAGCCCTACCTCATTTATAATTATTCATCGATCTGTAACTTTTTGATTGGTTTGTTATCCTCCTTCATGAGACTGTAGCTCCAGGGGAATAACAGCTGAATTGGTTTTTATCACCATTGCATTTCTAGTGCCAAACAATAAATAAACTTAGCTCAATAAATAGTTCTTGAATGAGTAAATGATCTCCAGTAGCCATTCAATAAATATGGTTTCTCTTCCCACCACCTTCCCCACCTCTACCGTTCCTGTCCTTTTGGCCATGCCTTTGCCCATATCTTTTCTGAAGCTAGCAAGGCGAGGAAAGAAGGTAGAATACGGCTCAGCCCTCTTTTAATCTTTTTCTGGCAGAAGGTTTGCTTGACATTTTGAGTGATCTATGAATTCAGATTTTCCAGGGCCTTTCTGACCTTTAAATAGTTAAACGTAGGTAATTATGTATATAATTAATTAGACATTTTGCCACAAGGACAGAGATTTACCTGACCATGCTTTCTAGAGGTGGGATGTGTCTAGGGTTGGGTAACCCTTCTCAAGTGCAGAATTTCTCAAATTCTCTTGAGATAGTTGATACAATGCCTGGTATAGATCACTGCTTGTTGGGTTGAATAGTGTCCAGCCGGATGTTCAGGCCACTATTGATTCATCCCTGCCCAGGGATCCTTCCCCTTTCCCTCTCTTCTCTTGACTCAGAGGATTAAAGACTCCTTAAGCCACATCTCCTGCCCTGGTTCCTGGTGCTTTTTGGCTCTGCTTTTTCAGAGTCAGTGGTCCTACCCATCTTTGACTGTGTGCAGAGGCCGAATCATTATGTCCACAGGATGTTAATGGGTTCTTATAGTAGGGACCAGATTCCTGCTTGGGCTTATGTACTGCAGAGAAGAATCCTTCTTCCTGTAGTCTTTCTTCCTGAGATGCTGCCCCCCAGGTTACTGCTTGGAGGTGTCATGGGAATAAGAGGTGGCAGAGCCTTGCTCCCTTGGGTGCAGAGGACTGACAAAGGGAACCACCTCTTGTGAGTCTTAAGGCAAGACACCTCTCTTGCCCATCTCACAGCTGTCAGGGTGCAGAGAGAGGTCCCTTATAGATCTCATGCCCTTTTTTTTTTAATAAAACAAACTTACTTATTGTTCAAGTACAGTCGTCTCCATTTTCCCACCACCACTTTCCCTTGTAGATCCCATGCCTTTTATCAGGGACTCTCTAGGAACCTTGGAACAGATTCAGAATGACCAGATCTGGTCATGTCATGAGCACTCATTGCAGGCCACATTCTGATCTTTTGATGACAGGGTCTTTCTGCTTTCAGAGGGCTATGTTATGCTTACTGCTCCAGGTGGGACAGTGGCAGCTTCTGAAGAGGTGGCTAAGGAGGGGTCAGGACCTGCTCCTTCAGACCCCTGTTGGTCACATGGTGTGGCTGATGGCTCCTCAGTTGGGGGACACACTCAGAGTAGTGGCCAGTGGCCACAGCAGCCACTTTACAGGGTGACTTGTCTCTGTGTCATGAGGCTTCAGCATGGAAGCTGCTGTAGGGGAGGAGCAATGTGACCTTGGGGTCCTGGGGTAGTTACGGGAGTAGGGATGGGAAAGGAGGAAGAATTCTGGAACTGCACCAGCTTGTCAGTTGAAGAATTTGGTACCGTCCTGTCCCTGAAGCTAGAAATCTTGGACTTGAGGTGGACTCCTTTCCACTCTTTCCCCTCATTCCTAGTCCAGTTAACATCAAAGCATCCCTCACATCTGTCCTTTCTTCTCCATTCCCACTACTTCTGACCTAGTTTAAGCCTTCATCATCTTTCACCTGTATGGTTGCCCTCTCAGGGGTTTTCCTGATACCAGTCTCATTTCTCTAATCTAGCTGTGCCACTCCTGCCAGAGTTCTCATCCTAAAAAAAGGCCATTCTGTGTCCCTTTCTTTCACCAAAGCCCACAGTGACACCTCTACCCACCTTTGCTACAGGGCAGAGTCAAAGCTCTTAAGCACGGACCAGACCCTGGTCTGGCTTTCCACCCCAGCCCCTGCCAAGGGTGCTGGTATCCAGCACTCAGAACATCTGTTTGCACGTGATGTTCTGTCTGCCTAGAATAATTGTCTGTCTACTGTCAGGCCTCTTGTCAGCCTTTGGTACCCAGCTCCTTGACAAAGCCTTTCTTCATTCTTTCAGTGGGAATGTGTTACTTCTCTCTCAGTACTCTCAGAGAAGGATGTGTTTTTCCCTTCTGCTTAGTACTGCTGTTGAGGTTATGTACGCTACTTCCACCAGAGTATAAGCTCTCTGAGGGCATTATTGAAGTAAATAGGGACATGCAAACAGGGCTGTGTGCTGAGGCAGTATGACCACACCAAGGTATATTGGTATATGGTGGAGGGGTGGTATGATGTTAGTTATTTTGGTCACTGGGGTTTTCTAGCTGGGGGTCTAGTTCTCCATTTGAGGGATAGGTTTTCAGATCTTTTGTGGTCCACCCAGTGTTTCCCAAGCCTTTGGAACTTTGGGAGATATGTCTCAGGGAACTTTCCCAGCACAGGGCCATAAGTCCCAAGTTCTTCCTAGTATCTGGAAAATTCCCAGCTGAATTGGTTTGCAGGGTCTGATGTGACCCAAGTGCTTCATGACTCAGCCCCAACTTTTTCTCTTCTAAGCTGGTTCACTGATTTTCTCTTTGGGTGGGGTCTCTGGGATCTAGGAGTTTGAGCCCAGACCAATCATGGCCGGAAGACCTATCCGCATAGGAGACCAGCTGGTTCTGGAGGAAGATTATGATGAAACCTATATCCCCAGTGAGCAAGGTAAGAGGCCTCGGGTGTATTGTCATAGTTCTTTGAGGGCAGGAATTATCTCTGATTTATTTTTGTTTTCTGGTGAAAAGATGGTATGTGCACAGAGCTGCTCAGTACATTTGGGTTAGATAAGGGTTGGCAAACTATAACCCATGGGCCTAATCTGGCTTGTTGCTTGTTTTTGTAAATAAAGTTTTATTTACAAAACAGCCATGCTTATTTGTTCATGTATTAGCTATGGCAGCTTTCAGGCTGCAAGGGCAATATTGAGTAGTTGTGACAGAAACCATATGACTGACCCAGAAAACCTGAAATACTTATTGTCTGCCCTTTATAGAAGAAGTGTGCTGACCTTGGATTAGACCAATGATTAATTTTTTTTAGATTTTATTTATTTTTTAGAGAAAGGGAAAGAGAGGGGGAGAAACATCAGTGTGTGAGAGAATCATTAATCAGTTGCCTCTTGCACACCCGCAACTGGATACCTGGCCAACAACCCAGGCATGTGCCCTGACCAGGAATCGAACTGGCAACCTCTTGGTTTGTGGGATGGTGCCACACCCGTCAGGTCTAGGCCAATGGTTAATTTTAAATGAAAATACAGTAGGGGATATTATAAAATACAGAGTGTGCCGAAGGCCAGGGGAAGCCCAATTTCTTAAGAACAAGCCAAAGCAATTTTTGTTTTTTAAACAACAGCAATAACATTATTAATAGCAATAATAACAAAATTTATTCAGTGCTACTATGCGCCATTCTCTGTAGTAAGAACTCTACATGTATTTCCTTTTCGACCCTCATGGTAAGTAAGTCATGAGTTAGGTATTTTTATGATCCTCATTTTACAGATGAGGAAATGAAGGCACAGAAAGGTTAAGTAACTTCCCTGCAGCCATACAGTTCGAAGCTATACAACTAGGATCTATACCCAGGTATTCTTACTCAAGGGCCTGTATTTTGAAGCACTATGACATTTGGGGCGGGGAGATGAAGATTCCTTTGAAATTTTCAGGATTTACGGACCAGGACACACAAATTTTGCTTATGATTCAAGTGGATTGAGGATCTGTTGGCAGGGGGGAAAGACCACTTGCACCTTCACGAGTCCAGAGATCCCACGTTAAACCCTGGACTTTCCTATAGCATAAGAGTTTTGTTCTGTTTGCCGTGTAGAAATTTTTCATTTTCATGTTAAATGTACGTGTTTATTCTCATATGGCCTCTGAATTTTGTATCACAGTTAGAAAAGCCTTGCCTACTCCAAGGATAAACACTTATGTTTTCCTCTAAGTTTGTTCCCACACCATTCATGGAATAACTCATCTTTCCCCCACTGGATGCTGCCTGTGTGTATTTGGGTCTACTTTCTCCTCTTTTCCATTGGACTATCTATTCATAGCCAGTATAGTACTGTTAATTACTGAGGCTTGATAATAAATTCTCATATCTAGTAGGGTTGAAATACCCTCCTTGCTTTTTTCCTCAAAGTTTTCTTGGTTATCTTATTGATTTTATCTCCCTGTGATCTTCAGAATCACCTTGTCCAGTTCTGGGGTGGGCACAATATGTGGGAACTGTTGGCATCTTGGAAAAATTGTGTTCAACTTATGAATGAACCTAGAGAGGAGTGACATCTTTATGAAGTTAAGTGTTCCTATCCAAGAACACTGTATTCCTTTCCATTTGTGTCTTTTTCTGTTTCTCAGGAGTGACTTAAATTTTTCTTCATATAGTTTTTGAACATTTCTTGCTCATTTTATTTCTTAAATATTTTATTTTAAAATTTTTATTTTTTTAATTACAGTTTACATTCAGTTTATTCTGTATTAGTTTCAGATATACAACAAAATGGTTAGACAGTCATGTACTTTACAAAGTGGCCTTCCTGCTGCTTTATGTACCCACCTGGCCCCATACATAGTTAAGATATTATTGACTATATCTCCTATGCTGTAATCTACATTTCTGTGGCTCTTCTGTAACTATCAGTTTGTACTGCTTCACCCTCTGTAAATGAGTTCTAATGTTTTTCCAAGGATCTTAATACGAACTCTTTTTTTGCCCAGTCCAAGTTTAGACATCCTGAGCTCAAGCCACCATTTTCTCTTCCTGGACTCTGCATAGCTTCCTAATTAGAATCCCTGCTTATACTCACTCCCTTTTCCTGTCTGCTGTATTTAGCACGGAGTGTTCATTTTAAGTGTAAAGCAGATCATATCAGGGCTCTGATTATTAAAATCTTCCATTTTACTCAGCATAACACCCTTAGTGAGGTGTGCAGGGCTCTACATGACCTGGCCCTGTCACCTGGCAGGCTCACCAGGTGCCACCATCTGCCTTACTCACTCTTCCAGTCACACGGCCTTTCTGACAGTCCCCAGATGGGCCAAGCTGCTTCTTGCCACAGGCCTTTTGAACCTGCTCTTCTTCTGCTTGAGTGCTCTTTCCTCAGGGCTCTGTGGGGCTCCTTTCCGCCGCTGGGTTTCAGTTGTCATCATTCTGAGATGTTTTCCTTGACCCTTCCTAAAGCAGTGCCTTCCACCTTGATGTTCTCTATCTCATACCACATTTACTGCCTTCATTGTGTTTATCAGAAGCTTTAATTCTTTGTATATTTATCTGTTCACTTCTTTACTGGCTGTTTCCTCTACTAGGATCCCAGCTTCCCAAGGAAGAGACCATTTCCCTCTCGTTTGTGGCACATGGTGACTGGTACACAGGAGGCACTCAAAAACTGGTTGTGAAATCAATGAATAAATTAATCCCTGGCTAGCCAAATCCCAGCTGATCTTTTGAAAAAGTGCTTTTGTTTCCTAGTCCCCAGGTATGTCATCCTCCAAACTCTCTACTGCGGTGACCCATACTGGTGATGGCTCAAGCACTGAAGCTCCTTGAGACTTTATTTTGTTATTCCTGGGGGCTCTGGTGACATATTCCAATGCTTATCTTATGTATCTTTTTCTAGGTGAGATAGCTCTTAACTCAGTACATATATCTCCCCTTTTCCTCCAGATCTTTGGCAAAGGAGCATTTCTAAATTCTTAATTCCAAAAGAGTACAAAAAAAGTATTACAGTTAATCACATATAGCAGAATTGAAAGGAAACTCTCTTCGTGGAAGAGAGGGTTCAGTGAATGGGGAAGAAGGCTGCCTGAGTATCATCCTCGTTTCTCAGCTCAGATATCCATTGGCCTGGCTAGAATGTCACCACTTACTCTGTGCTCCCATGGCACTCAGTGCACATCTCTCTGGCAGCACCTGTCACCTGGTTTGTACTTTAGTCATATGTTGGTAAGGTCCCCAATGGGCTTAAGTGTTTTTGTAGTTTTCAAACATGCGTGTTGATGGAGTGATGAGTACTTGCACTAAGATTTTGTAAATCTTGGGAGAGCTTGTGTCCTCATAAGGCTGCCCCCATTCAGGGTAGTTCTAGCTGTGGCTGTTGGGATTCTTCCTGAGGCCCCTGCCACACTGAAGTCATGGTCTTATTTTTTTTTGCCTTCATTAACTTGGCTTCAGATTATATTCTTGGGCCATGGCAATTGCCATGCCTTGATTCAGATGTACCATTTATAACTGTAGTTTAAGAAAATTACATATATCTATTATGTAGAACTAATAACCTCTTCACTGAAGTAAATTTGAAAAGTAAAGGCGGAGTAGAGAAGTTGTTTGGGGATAAAACCTTCTTTTTCCTTTACTCTCAACTCAATGCGTCTGCCACCAGGTGTGTGTGTTTTTCCCTACACCAGCCAATTCTCTGACATCAGCTGGATGTCCTGCAGTTCAGTTCAGCTGTGACACTATCTCCCTGGAGTCAGCATCACATCCCACAAGCGAAAGGCACAGTCCCACAAGACTGCCCCCACTACAGACGCTAATCCAAAGTCCTAGGTTGTCCCTGGTACTTCTGACCAATCGGCTGTACATCAGAGTTCCCATGACCCTATCCTCAGGTTTGATAATGTACTAGAACAAGTCACAGAACTCAGGGAAACAATTATGTTTACCAGTTTATAATAAAGGATGGAAATCAACAGCCAGCTGAAGAAATACATAGGATGAAGTCTGAGCGAGTCCCAAGTGCAGGAGTTTCTGTGCCCATGGAGTTGGAGTGCCCCACTCTCCTAGCACATGGGTGTGTTCACCAGTTTGAAAGCTCTAGGAGCCCCGTAGTTAAGGGTTTTTTATGGAGGCTTCATCATGCAGACATGATCCATTAACTTGTTTTCCAGTCCCTCTCCCCTGTCCAGAGAATGGGTGTTGAGCCTGAAAGTCTTTCTGGTGACCAGCCCCATCAGGAGCCATCCAGGCACCCACCTAGAGTCACCTCATTGGACCGTAAATGCTCTTATTCCTTGGGAAATTGCAAGTGTTTTAGAAGCTCTCTTTCAGGAACTGGGGTCAAAGACCAAATATTAATAGGAACTGGGGGCAGAGACTAACATGTACATTTCTTATTCCATAGACTAATTGTGATTTTTTTTTTTTTCTTTTCACCCACTTCTCCACCTCTCTTACTTTTCTACCCTCCTGCCTCTCCTTGCAGAAATTGTTGAATTTGCCAGAGAGATAGGTATCGATCCCATCAAGGAGCCGGAACTGATGTGGCTGGCACGGGAGGGCATTGTGGCCCCACTGCCCGTGGAGTGGAAACCATGGTAAGTCAGCAGGGGGGGTGGCCCACAGACTTGGCCTGTCAGAGTCAGAGGGAGGCTGACACTAGAGATCAGCTTCAACCAGTCACCTTTCAAAGCCTGTCCTGCACAGAGTTGGGGACAGCAATAAGCTGCTCTGCTGGGCTCTCTGATGCTTTGAGCCTGAGCATAGGCTGATGTGACGGTCCCATGAGGGGTTCAGCATTTATACCCGGTGTCCCAGGAGCTACTGCCCTGGGTCAGGTCCTCGAGCGCCAGCATCTGTTTTTGATACACTCACAAGTTGTCTGTGTTATACTTTGTAGACTGGTATTGAGACCTTGTTGGCATGTCCACAATGGATGCTGGTGCTAAAGAGGTTTGCGATGAGGCCACAGACTGGCAGGGTTTCAGCTCCCTTGGCAACCCATCCCTGACTTTAAGTAATCTCTTCATGAATAGGTACATATTTGGGGATTTGTTCATATTTTCAATTTCAGTTCTTTGGATTGTGAGGAGCAGAGACTCAGGTTATCTCAGGGAAACAGGTTGGTGGTGAGGAAACAGACTGGCTGGGGTGGGGAAGCTAAAAGGAGTTGGGAGCTGTGTCTCCCTCCTGAGGGTACATCCTCTCCCCTTCTTGCTGACTCTGTTTCCTCTGTTTTGCGTATCTTCTCTGTTCTCATCATTTACATAGAGCTCATCACCTACATAGAACTCTCTCTCTAAGCTGTGTCCCTAAAATGAATGCCATGAGTTTACTTCCTACTCTAGCACGGGATTTCCCTATGCTTGTCCTGTACTCATCCCCAGATGTCTTTTGGGGTCTTCTCTTATCCTTGTATTGTGAACATTCTGTGTGCAAGGTATAATTATTCTGCTCTTATCCATCCATTTAATGTGTTGGCTGCACTTTAGAATGACTGCAGTTGTAGTCTTAATCATCTCCACTGAAGAACTGTAATCCTCTTAGCTTCTCACATCATGTCTCCCTGTTTTGACCTTTTTAGTTGCCTTCTCTTGGACCTTCTGCAGCTTCATAATATGCTTCTTTGTAGTAAATCCATCCACAGTGCACACAGTATTCCAGGTGCTGAGGACTCCTGTTGTGTTTATAGGATAATGGTTTTTGTTGTTTCTGATATCCACCCTGATGATCACATTTGCCTTATCAAGTAATCTCTGTCTTCTTTTTCTCTCTGTTTTTAACTTTGTATATATCTGTGTTGTTTTGCTTTTGGAGATATATATATATATCTATATATACATATATAGATATATATATATATATTTTTTTTTTTAATTAAAAGCCACAAGAGAAATATAATCAGTATAATAGCACCTTAATGTACACATACTTAAATAAATCACTGCAGTGATGTTAAAAAAGGTATAAAGAGGACATACAGATGGCTGATACACATATGAAAAGATGCTCAACATCACTAATCATCAGAGAAATGCAATTAAAACCACAGTGAGATACTGTCTCACACCTGTCAGAATGGCTATTATCAATAGATCAACAAACAACAAATGCTGGTGAGGATGTGGGGAAAGGGGACCCCTTTTGCACTGTTGGTGGGAATGCAGACTGGTGCAGCCACTATGGAAAGCAACATGGAGATACCTCAAAAAACTAAAAATGGATCTGCCTTTTGACCCAGCGATCCCACTTCTGGGAATATATCCAAAGGAACCCAGAACACTAATGTGAAAGAACATAAGCACCCCTGTGTTCATTGCAGTGTTATTTACAATTGCCAAGATATGGAAGCAGCCCAAGTGTCCGTCCGTAGATGAGTGGGTAAAACAACTATGGGACATTTACACAATGGAATACTACTCAGTTATAAATAAGGAGAAAATTTTACCCTTTGCAACAGTATGGATGGACCTGGAGAAAATTATGCTAAGTGAAATAAACCAGTCAGAGAAAGAGAAGTACCATATGATTTCACTTATATGTGGAATCTTATGAACAAACTGAACTAACAAGGAAAATGGGGACAGACTCATAGATGGAGAGAAGGATGACAGTTATTTGGGGGCGGGGAGGTTAGTGGGTGGAGGGATTGAGCAAAAAGGCAAAAGGACTCAGGGACGTGGACAACAGTGTGGTGACTGCAGGGGGCGGGGGGTGTAAGGGAATGAAGTGGTAATGGAAAAAAAATACTATAAAGATTAAATTTTAAAAAATGTCTCCAGATATCTCCAAAAACTCTCCAAAAATTACCAGAGGGAAAAATTATTCACAATTGAGAAATAATGATTTCTTTAAAAATAATCCTGTCAATTAAAAGCTATATTTCAAAAAGATTTGTTAAATTAAAATTAAGGATAGATGTGAATTTGATCAAATGCCACTTTTTACCATAAAGATGATTATTTTTCTTTTCAGCTTATTATGGGTTATATTAATGCATTTACTAATAATGACTATGAACTTAGCTGGTAAGAATGTATTCTTTAATAATGTTAAATTCCACTTGGTAATGATTTAATTATGAGTAATGAGTAGATATTTATAATTATACTCATCTGTAGTTTTGTGCAATATATTGATATTAAAAGATTAAAAAGTAAAAAAAAAAAAAAAGGCAGATGGAAGGAAGGAAACTGTCATTGGTTATGGGCCAGCTGCGTGCCAGGCTTTGTGCCAGCTGCCTTCACCTCCCTGCTCGTGGTGGCTGACCCTCCCTTATCTTGTAAGAAGAGTGTGAAGTATTTCTCACTTTTTAAACTAACAAAAGTCGTTAAAATTTATAATGTCATTTTTTACCCTTAGCCCCAATTCCAGGAGTAATTGATTGGTGAGTTCCTTCCAGTCCTTTAAAACACACAGGCACACACCCTGTATACATTTTATGTTCTAAATGTAAGTGCTATTCTGTGTACACTGCTTCTCTATGTCAGTGTGTGAAAGTCTCCCTTAGTCTCTTATCAGCTGAATGCTTTTCCATACATAGATACATTGTAATTTTTTTTAAATCCTGATTTATTTAACCACTTATATTGAAGGGTGTTTAGATTTTTTCCAAATTGACCATTATGCATCGTTCTGTTTCTGGATTCTATGCTGTCTTTTTTTTTTTTTTTTTAATATATTGATTATGCTATTACAGTCCCATTTTTTTCTCCCCTTTATCACCCTCTGCCCTTTATCCCCCTTCCTGCCAGCATTCCCCACTTTAGTTCATGCCCATGGGTCATACATACAAGTTCTTTGGCTTCTTCATTTCCTGTACTGTTCTTAACATCCCCCTATTTTGTACCTGCCAATTATGCTTATTATTCCATGTATCTTTTCTCCCATTCTCTCTCCTCCCTTTCCCTGCTGATAACCCTCCATGTGATCTCCATTTCTGTGTTTCTGTTCCTATTCTAGCTGTTTGCTTAGTTTGTTTTGTTTTGTTTTTTTCTTTTTAGGTTCTATTGTTGATAGTTGTGAGTTTGTTCTCATTTTACTGTTCATAGTTTTGATCTTCTTCTTCTTAGGTAAGTCTCTTTAACATCTCATATAATAAGGGCTTTGTGATGATTGGTGATGATGAACTCCTTTAACTTGACCTTACTGGGTAGCACTTTATCCTCCTTTTCATTCTAAATGATAGCTTTGCTGGATGTAGTAATGTTGGATGTAGGTCCTTGCCTTTCATGACTTCGAATACTTCTTGCCAGCCTCTTCTCGCCTGCAAGGTTTCTTTTGAGAAATCAGCTAGAAGCCTTATGGGAACTCATTTGTAGGTAACTGTTTCCTTTTCTCTTGCTGTTTTTAAGATTCTCTCCTTATCTTTAATATTGGGTAATTTAAAAATTGTGATGTGTTTTGGTGTGTTTCTTTTGAGTCCAACTTCTTTGGGACTCTCTGAGCTTCGTGGACTTCCTGGAAGTCTATTTCCTCAGCCAGATTGGGGAAATTTTCCTTCATTATTTTTTCAAATAAGTTTTCAATTTCTTGCTTTTCCTCTTCTCCTTCTGACACCCCTATGATTCAGATGTTGAAATGTTTAAAGTTGTCCCAGAGGTTCCTAAGCCTCTCCTCATTTTTTTTTTTTTTTTTTTTTTTTTTAATTCTTGTGTCTTCATTCTGTTCCGGTTGAATGTTTATTTCTTCCTTCTGTTCCAAATTGTTGTTGATGTGTCCTGGTTTCCTTCCCTTTACTGTTGGTTCCCTGTATATTTTTCTTTATTTCACTTTGCATAGCCTTCACTTCTTACTTTATTTTGCAACCATACTCCATCATTTCTGTGAGCATCCTGATTACCAGTGTTTTGAACTGTGCATCTGATAGGTTGACTATCTCCATGTCGCTTAGTTCTTTTTCTGGAGTTTTGATCTTTTCTTTCGTTTGGTCCATATTTCTTTGTCTTGGTGCACCTGTTATGTTGTAAGGGGCAGAGCCTTAGGTATTCACAAGGGCAGGACAACCCACTTGGCTGCTTGTGGTGCTGTATGATGGGGAGGGGTCAGAGAGGGAACAAGCCTGCTTGTTTGGCTGTTACCCTGCTTTCAGTCACTTCCTCCACTACCCACAAGAAAATTGGGCCCTTCTGGTGCTGATTCCCGGGTGGGTGGGTTTGTGTATGTTCTAGGACCCCATGGGCTCCTGCAATGAACTCTCCTGTGAGACTGGCAGTTTCACCCGCCGCTGCAGCCCCCAAAGAGTTTTACAGCCAGAGGTTTTGAAACTTTCTTTTCCCAGTGCTGGAACCCTGGGTTGCATGGTGTGTCTCAGTCCCTAGTTGTTCCTTCCGGTTTATCTGCATGCGAATGCAGGACTGCCCGGTCTGCTTGCTGTAGCCTCGCCAGCCCGGTCTGCCAACTGCTGCCTTGCCATGCGTCCTCTCCACCCCAGTTGCCCGTCTCCACCCCTCCTTCCAGTCTGGATGAATGTTTCTTCTTTAATTCCTTGGTTGTCAGACTTCATACAGTTTGATTTTTTAGCAGTTCTGGTGGTTGTTTGTAAATTGGTTATTATCCCTCTTTTGGTTGTGTGAGGAAGTGAAGCATATCTACCTAC